TTAGGTGTGCAAGGCATGTTGCGTTAACACGTATTTATGAAACTTCAGTTGCTACGGGGAATACCCAAGGGGACTGGAGAATATTGAGTGCCTCTGTTCAGGAGGCGAGACTATTACGGGTGTTCCAGTTATCAGGGCTTTACCTTACCTTGCTGAGCCGTTTGGGATAAGTGTACACAAAAATATTAGAAGGTGCCGCAGAATCATTGACTCTATGATGCTGGAAGAACAGTGTGCACCTCTGGCCAGATATTCGTCTTACGCTAAATTGTTGAGAAAACGTGAAAGTCTGCTCATTGGATTTACATGTACTTTTCGGACATGGAGAAAGTCTATAACTGGAATCCGAGCATTAAGCCTTGGGCGTGCGTGCAAAAATATGAGATTAATAGCGAGTTGCTACGAGTTACAATATGCTGATGGCAGCTGCTACATCAGAGTAAATGACGCAAATGGTGAGACCTTTCAGTGTGGCACTGGTTCCCGCCAAAGCTGCGTCCGTTCTTTCTCACGCGTTTGTTGTGCGTGGATGGAATATTCAGGCGCAGCCAAGGCCACGAGAGCATCAGCGTAGGAGATGGGGAGATGAGAGGGTTTCTATTTGCAGACGACCGTGTTTCGTTTTGTTGGCATCGTCTGAAACTGATCTCCAGCACTCTCTGAAAAGATTCGCAGCTGAATGCAATGAGGCACCTGTGTCACCGTATCTAAAACGAAAAGCCTTCCAGGTTCTCCTACCGGCTGATTGTTTCAGATAAACGAAGAAGCAGTGAAGCAGGTGGAGAAGTTCCAGTACCTCGGGGTAGTATTTTTTGGTGATGAAAAATTGGCGGAAGAGTTCAACCTGCAAATCGCAATTGTCAGCTATGTTCTGTATGAACTAGCCCCAACAGTGGTGATTAAAGCAGAGTTGAATTCGAAGACTAACCTCTCTGTGTTGAAGTCAGTCTTCATTCGTGATCACATACGGTAATGGGTTGTGGGCCACGAAAAAATTTTGATCTGGTTCATGAGCGGTTGAAAGGATCTTCCTGAGACGAATCGATTGGGTCACCCATCTTGACAAATCCAGTATCCCAGATATCTGAGAGAACATTGGTGTACAACCGCTGTTTCTGCAGAATGAGGAGTCACAGCTATCGCGATCTGGGTACGTCTTGCGAATTTCTTCTTCGGCCAACTGAAGATCCTGAGGATGTCTAAGTGTAACCTGGGGGAAGTGTATCGAAGGACTCTA